TGCTTCTGTTGTTTGAGTTGTTTTACATTTACATAAAAAAATATATAATTAAATATACACTTCAAATAAAAATGTTTTCCCTTGCAGGCACAAAAAAAAAGGGAATCATTTACAGGTTTACAGAGTATTATGGAAATTCTAAAATTACAACAGAAGCAATAATGATGAATATATATAAAAAGGGGTCGCTGGTTTCCACATCATCATGCTTCGATACATATCAAAATGCAAGTTGAAAAAGACAAAAATCAAAAACATCTTAAACCTAGCATACAACTGAAAAAAAAGGAGGAAAATTCAGCTCTCGGTAACCTAACCCGGAAAAGGCAATGCAAAATAAAAAAGAAGAAAAAAAAATAATAAAGAAAAAAAAAAAGAAAAAAAGGAAAACAAACAAACAAACAAACAAAAAAAAAAAAACTTAAAATATAAGATCAGAAAAAAAAAAAAAAAAAAATGCACATCAAAATTTGGCAGGAAACAAAAGAGGTCCTGTGACAGAGGGACAGACATGGAAGTTCGAGTGTTGAGTTCTCTTGAGGTGTTAGGAGGGGGAGGAGGAGGAAATGAAGGGAAAGGAGGAAGAGATGGAGGAGTAGGAAAAGGAGGAGGAAAAGGAGGAGGAACAGGAGGAGGAGGAGGAGGAGGAAATGAAGGGAAAGGAGGAAGAGATGGAGGAGTAGGAAAAGGAGGAGGAACAGGAGGAGGAGGAGGAGGAGGAAATGAAGGGAAAGGAGGAAGAGATGGAGGAGTAGGAAAAGGAGGAGGAACAGGAGGAGGAGGAGGAGGAGGAAATGAAGGGAAAGGAGGAAGAGATGGAGGAGTAGGAAAAGGAGGAGGAACAGGATATTAAGGAGGAAGAGGAGGAGGAGGGGCAGGAGAAATAGCAACAGAAAAAGCAGAAGAGGAGGAGAAGGGGGAAAGGGTAAGAAAAGCAAGAGAATGGAAGAATCAAGCAGAAAGAGGAGGAGGAGGAAGAGCAGGTAATGGAGGAAGAAGCCTACGTAGAAGACTGAAAAGAAAGAGAAGATGAAGTAAGGAAAGGAGGAAGAGAATATAAAAGAATTTATAAAATGAGGTAATCAATGGAAGAGGAAGAGGAAGAGGAGAAGAAGATGGAGGAAAAGAAAATATGAAAATAATGATAGCAGAAACTAAATAACGTGAAATAAAAGTCCCAAATGGGCAAAAATAGATCTAGAAAAAGAAAATAAGTGAGAAAACATCCAAAAGCCTATAACCCAACGACATTATAAAATCCCCCAAAACATGAAGCAAAGAGATGAATAAAAATAAGAAGCCAGAGAGGAAGGGGAAGAAGAAAAAGATGAAGCAGAAGAAGAAGAAGAGAGAAAAAACAAAACAAAACCATAAAACAAAGAACCACAAGAGGAAAAGGATGGAGGATCTGAGTATTAGCAAAGTCAAAGGATATTACACAACTGTGGAATGAGGATACCGGGGAGGCATGAATGGTGGACTGTGGGAGAGAGAGAGAGGCATGGAGGCACATGCTAGCTGCAGGCAAAAAATGAAACAAAAATGCATTCACACGCAAAACGCAAACACACTTCATCATCGTGCATAATTAGGCATTCACGGCGAAGCATAATTTTAGCACAATGCAGCTCATCAGCAGGGAAATTATTTATTCATGTATCTTATTAGAGAAGGGACACTCTGAAAGGTTTATGTCCGTTATTTAAATTCGGTTTGGGTGATTTATTGGGTGTAAGAATGTAGGTGTTATGTCTGGCAAGCAGGGGAGACACAGCTAAGGGAACTTCTTCTATTTGGCTTCATCTCGTGGTTACAAATACAAATCATAAATACTAATGCTTGTAACTTGTATTCTTGCTTTCTTAAGAGTAGAGACAAAATGCCAATTACTGTAAGATGTGAATCATATATTTAACATACAACTACATCTCAGTGAAATAATTATGTTGACATAATCCCATGCCAAAGGAAAAAATATGGAAAACTCTCCAAAACAAGATAAAATAAAGTCTAACAGAACTGAATGGAATAGATGCAAAGCATTCTTTAATAATATCCATCAGTTTTTTATTTTCTCATAAAGTTGCATGAAAAAAATGAACTTCAATCATAAATAGAGGATTGCCAAATTACAGGATAAGGATGAGGATTTGGAGAGAGAGAAAGATGGGGGAAGAGAGGGGGAGGAGGAGGAAGGGAGTACTGGGAGGGGAGGGGGGATGAAGGGAGGAGGGGGAGGAGGAGGGAGGAAGGGGAGGAGGGGGAATGGGGGGGGGAGGAGGAGGAGGAGTAGTATGGGGAGGGGGGAGGAGGATTAACAAAGGGAGGAACGAAGGGGAGGGGAGGGGGATGGGGGGGAGACAGAGACGGAGAGGGAGAGGGAGGGGGAGGGGGAGGAGGAAGACGGGAGGGAAAGGGGGGGTAGAAGGAGGAAGAGGAGGAAGATGGGGAAAGGGGGTGGGAGGAGGAGGATAAGGAAGACAGGACATGTTGCATGCGACAGCCCAAGAAAGGTGTGCCTGGTGCCTGCCAACTTGACATGCTCCTCGATGCCTGTCAGGCCACACACGCTTAAACACACCCCAGGCACCCTTGGCTTCACACTCAACGCGTCCTGCTGCACCTCCTTCCGAGGCATTTTGAAAGACGCCGAGAATTCTTCACGGTAAGTTGTATATAAAGGGGGAGACACATCGGCATGCCACGGCGGGTCGGGTTCTTGATGGGGAGAGGGGAAGGGAGAGGGGAAGAGAGAGGGGAAGGGAGAGGGGAAGGGAGAGGGGAAGGGAGAGGGAGGGAGAGAGGGGAGGGGAGAGGGGAAAGGAGAGGAGAAGGGAGAGTGGAGGGGAGAGGGGAAAGGAGAGGGGAGAAGGGAGAAGGAAAAGGAGGCTACAGAGGACGGGGTATGGATGCAAGGCTTGCAACGACAATCACTTGCTGTTAGTTGCTGTAACTGGAATGTAATTAATAAACAAGCAAAATCATTCACATGTGTATCATTAGTAGTTGTTAATCGGTCGATCCTGGGTGATGAAATGGCTTGACCAGGTGTGCAGGCAGGGCACAGGTGGCGGGTGGGGACGTATGTGCTGGGTGATGCTGGGCTGTGTGTGTGTGTGTGTGTGTGTGTGTGTGTGTGTGTGTGTGTGTGTGTGTGTGTGTGTGTGTGTGTGTGTGTGTGTGTGTGTGTGTGTGAGCGAGCTTAGGTTTGAACTTGGAAGTGCACATGAGCTTATGTATGTGTGTATGTACAATTTATGTACAGTTTCCGTAAATCAAGTGCCTTGAGAGAACCAAAGAAGACACGGCGTTGGCGGCACCATGACCCTCCCACGCGCACTGCAACGCCCCAATACGACAAGGGCGTGACAGTGACCCGTGGACGTGCACGAAATGAGGGTTGCAATATGGCAATACACTGGACCTTCACAACCCAGGTCGTGCATGAGAGGGGGAGGGGGAGGGGGAGCGGGAGAAAGGGTGGTAAGGGGGAGGAAAGGGAGGAAAGGGAGGGAAGGGGGGGGGGGCGAAAGAGAGGAAAGGCAGGGGGAGAGACGAGAGGACGAACTCTCTGCCGTGCCGTGGGCGCGGCCAGGGAGTGTTAGGAAGGGGTGAATACGGGAGGGGGAAGGACGGGATAGGACTGGACAGGAGGAGAAGGCAGAGGGCTCGGGGCGGTCCAGAAGATGCTCCCAGTGCAGAAGAGATGGAGTGCCATAAGTGCCAAGAACGAGTGCCACCACAGGCGCTGTTGTGAGGTGTCCAGGCATGAGCCAGAGGTGCGGGTGGAGGTGGAGTGGCTGCATGCTGAGCGGAGCCGGAGGGCAGGTGGAGCCCCGGGCGAGACGCGGGTGAACTGGCGGGGATGTGTGTGTGTGGAAGGTGGTGATGCGAGTGGTGGTGATGGGGTGATGGTGGTGGTCGTGAGAGGGGGTGAGGGGGAGGTGGGGTTAAAACTTACAGTCAAAGTTGTAGAGCCCTGTTTCCGGATCTGTAAGAAGTAAGCAACATACATAACGTAAGACAAACATATCTCTGAAGATGGAGAAAAAAAAAAACAATTAAAGAGTGTGAACCGGAAAATTTCCAGTTGTTTTCCGTCCGTCGCGCATCTGTGTGTACTGCCTTGGGCGCGGGCTCGGGGCGGCCCTAGGACTGCGCATGCACGCGCGCAAACACACACACTCACGCACACGCACATGTGCACACTCGCATATGCGTGCGCAAACACACACAAACAAACAAACAAACAAACAAACACACACACACACACACACACACACACACACACACACACACACACACACACACACACACACACACACACACACACACACACACACACACACATGCACACACAGGCCAGCCTCATTTTCATTCACTCTTTCTCAAATGTATTTACATACACATACGTACGTGAGGGTATAAGTAGAGAAACACGCTCGCACACTATATACACATGCGCATACATACACTACACAAACATACACCAAGGTACAATCCGGTTCAGCTGGACCACGCGCCCTTGTGGCAATCCGAAAAGACACCTGTTCCTCCTCGAAACATTTCCAGTTGCAATCACGCATTCTCTAAGCAAGTGGTCAACCTGGTTGCCTCCTATCGATTCAATGCTCATTAGCAAACGGACCTGTCGAATAATTGAAAAAAAAAACCCTCAAAACTCATAGGTCTTTAACGCTTAACAGGAAATCACTAAAGATAAGGAAGAAATATTAATACTGAAGAGATAACCCAACCACATCTTATTACGTGAAAGACAGAGAAAGAGAAGAACAAGGAAAAACGAATAAAAAACACAGCTAAAACAGATACAAATACACATTACAAACACAAACACACACACACACACATACACACACACTGTGAGCATTTCTAAAAGGCCGTTAGTCGAGAGAAAGAGAAAAAAGTTGTATTAATAATAAAAAAGTTCAGATTCCCGTCCCGAGCGAGGCACTGCGGAGGCGAGTAGACACACAGACGTCGCGGCGCCGTCAGACAACGACTGAATTTCCTACTTCACACACAAGGAAGAGGCCATTGAAGAAAAATAAATGTATGTAAGAACTTAGTTAGACTGTTTATTTGGTATGAAAAAATTATATTAAAATGAGTGTCGGATGGTTAACTTTTGACACTTTTTTTTAACTGGTTGTACTGTACATTTAATTTTTTTTTTGTTAACATAAAAATGAGAACTAATTCTTTGTCTAGAGAGAGAAGAGGAAGTGAAGTGATTTGTACATCTGGTGCTACTTGGAAAGAGGACAGCAAGGGAAGGTCTTGGTCTTAAGGGCTCTGCAATGTTGAGTCAAACTCTGGACTGAAAAGCATTTACCGAACGATTTTATCTTTGGAAGAATCTTGAGTCTTTTGCAGAGAACTTGTGGTCCGGGATTGTTTTCTCTTTAGTCAAACTCACATCATCAAGTCCGTAAAAGAGATGTTAGGCAAGGTCAGAGGGAGTCCTGCAGGAGCCAGAGATAAGGTCAAGACCCGGAGGGGCGAGCGGCCGCCGCCGGAGAGGCCGCCGCCGCCGCCGCCGTCGAGAGAGTCGAGCGCAGAGAGCGTCAGAGTGCGTTTGTGGTGCAAGAGTCACGAGCAAAGACTGTACAGCATATACAGTCGTATACAGTCTTTGGTCCCGAGTGAGTGCGTGCGGCCGGGAAGTAGAGAGGCGGCCCGGCCGGGTGGTCGTGGCGGGGCCGCCGTCAGGCCTCCTGCAGCAGCGGCAGGCAGACGTCCGTGCCACGCGGGGCAGACACGCTGGGTTTGTAGTTTTGTTTTTATACAGCAGCATGCAAGTCACGGTACACTGGCGGATATCCCGGGTGCTGTCATGGCGTCCCTCACTGTCTGGAGGTCTCGGGTGGAACAAAAAAACTTCTGCATCTTATAAATATTTGTTCCGAGGGCTTTCTCTCAGGGAGGTTGTCTTACGCTTAGGCCACCGCGGGGAGAGAGGCGGCAGCACCCGGTGTTCTGAAACAGCGACACTGCAAGCACATCTAGAGTGCCTGGAGTCCCCTGGGGTCCCCTGGGGTCCCGGGTCACTAAGTGCGAGCTGGTCATCCTCGCGACACCAATGAAAGCAGAACAAACAGGGCGCACATGGACACTGGGCGCGCGACGGCGTCTCCACCACGCTCAGGGGGAGGGGGGGGGGGGTCAAGGCTCTTGGACGTGAGCAGTGAGGTCCGAGAGCGGGCGTGAGAGGCCGGCGACACACAGTAATACATCTAGGCCTACACATATGCTGCATGCCGACTCGTTGACTTCCCTGTGGCACGTCCTACCGGCCCTTCCTCGGCCACCTACATACTTACAATTCCTTGTCATAATCTTAATCACGATAATTATAAGAAAACAATCGTCTCTCGCTTGTAATATCTCCTTCACTACAGCTGTAGATCACGCCCCGCGGCCCCCTACAGGAGAACCCAAGGACTGCCGAGGGAGGCGCTGGCTTCGCATGTCCATTCACCACTACATACACTACTCATGCCTAAGTACAGTACACGGTAAACTTTCATGGGGATATATATGTATATATACACGGCAAGGCTCGTACCCCCACACATAGGCTGCTTTAGTCACTTGTCTGGTCATTAAGAGTTTTCATCTTTATTCTCTTTCTTCACAATACAGCGAAGGATACAGTGATACAGTTCTAGTCTCTGTTGTTATTACTCTGTCACAGCAGCCTACGTGCGCGCGGGTACACACCTTTACTACTTAGCTTTACTGACACCGTTAACTACACAAACCTGAAATGAAGAAATTCTACAAAGGCAATAATTCATGTGGTATTTACTCTTTCTTTCTAATATACTCTGGATTAATACCACTACGTATATATACACCCACAACCCATTGCTCAGGGAACGATACTGTACACATCTATATCTACCAACGGGATATCTACTGATACTGACATTATATAAAGATGGGCATGAATTAATCTAAATATATATATATATATATATATATATATATATATATATATATATATATATATATATATATATATATATATATGTGATTTAAAACATTTAAAATGAGAAGCATAATAACGAAGATATTTGACACATTCGTAACCAGTGAAAGAATGTTGTTTCTTAAATCGTCATTCTATCCTGTTTAAACCTACAGATGACACAGATATCACAATATTTATGAAGCAGACGATATAGTCATTTCCGAGTGTTAATGTATCTACTATATCACATTTACTCTATACTATATCACGCGCAGCGACAATGATATACACAAAACACAATAACGGTAAATCAATTTTACGCGTCGTGCTGAACAGACGTTGGTTAATAATCAACTTGGCGGTAGATTTGGCCTGAATCTCTCTTTGTCAGTTTGCTGTTCGAGCGAGCGGGGGAATGCGAGTCTCGTGTCCAAGCTCAAATTGCAAGGCTTAACAACATTATCTTTTCTGCTTGTAAACTACGCTGACTGCTATCTTACTGTGTGAAAGCCATGTCCCGTTCAGTGGGCGTTTTTTCCCTCTATCTTGACTTTATCTTTTGTTAAATAATGCATTGGAAATTATGTTTTCATATGACGACGAAATATCTTATCAAATTTCAATTTCGATTTTAGGATCAGTATAAGACGAATGCATTCATGTACGTGCGTCACCGCGGGAGTTTGTGAGAGTGCGTGCGTCTGCGTGCATAGTGTCTGTGTGAACAAGATTACATTATCTAATCTAATTAACCTACACATATGTCTCGCGTGGATAAACAATAGCATCCGTAAATCTTCTACACCCGTATACCCTATTTCGTACCCGCCAGTCTATGCAAATCACAGAGGGGAAAAGTCTTCTGCCTCGTCAGCAGTTCCAGTCTGGCTCAGTTCAACCGTTGCAAGATCAAAGAGAAAAAGAAAAAAACATTTATGAAAAAAGCGAGTCTCATCTCAAGAATTCCGTTCCGTAACACCGTCTTCAATCTCAAGTAGGCAAATGAGGTCAATAATCCACTGCAATTAGACCTATCCTATGTTGCAGAATAAAAGAAAAAATATATATTCTTTCTTGATATATGATTTATTCAAAGGGGGGAAGGGGCGTGGGGAGGGAGCGAATAAACCGTCTTGAAGCTGTCCAAAGGGGAGTGGGGGGTAAGGGGCGGGGCAGGGGCAGAGGGGGGGTGGGTGAAAATCAACTCACTCTTGTAGCCATCAGTATGAACTTGCTCGCAGTCGGTGGTCCGCGTGGTGAGGGGGCACCTCCAGAGGGCGCCCGAGCGGTTCGTCCCCGGCTGCAGGTTGTGGTCCTTCGGCGCTCCTACGAGTATCCTGCGGGAGGAGATGAGACGAGGGTAATGTCAGGTGTCGAAATCCAAAGGTGGTAAATGCTCTTGGTTGAATTTAAATGTTATTGTGGCCGATTGTGGCAGAATGTGACGGTGGCTAGTCATTGCTCGTGACCATGTCCCTTGAGTCCGATCAGGCAGCCATCCAAACATGAAAAAAAACGGAAATCAACTCGGAGTTAAATAAGAAGCAACAAGATAATCTCCCAAAATATTTGAAATCATCAATCCGGCCACGCAAAAAAAACAGAACAAAGGAGGAAAAAAATCTCACAGTCTCACATTCTCCTGAAAACATAGGAAATTAATCTAACTTTTCCCCTATGAAGTACTGATAAAACATCTAGTCAGCAAAATTATACAAGTTCCCCCTCCACCCAGCGATCCACAGGAAGATGCAAAAAAAAAGGGAAGAGGAGGAAAAGGAGGAGCAGGAGGAAGGAGAGGCTGGAAGAAAAACGAAAAAAAGCGAAGGAAAGAGTGCAGAAAAAAACGAAAGCGAAGAAGGAAACACGAACAAAAGAAAGAAGGAAATAAACGAAAAAAAAATCATACCAACGAACCAGACCACGGAATAATCAAGAAAGCAACACAAAGGAAAAGATCCCCCCCGCCCTCGCCCCCCCTTTTCCTCCCGGCCGCGTTGCCTGATTGTGGGCGCCAATTAATAATATATTCAGATCCGTGGGCGGCTCTGGGCGGCTTAACCGTGAGTGGCAGGTCCGACCACGCCCTCGATTCCAAGTGGGCGTGTTCATTCAATGCTCCGCGGCTCGGTTTGATTATGTCTATTGGAAAGGGGCAGAGATGGGGAGATGGGGGGGGGGGAGGTTAAGCCGATAGTCATAATTTCCTTTTGCAGGCTAATAATTATCCTATGTTTACATCTATTATAAAACAATATGAATAACTACCAACCGCATCCCCGATTTACATGAAGACATGGAGATCTCAACATTACAATCTATTACGGAATTCACTTCACGCAAAAGAAACAAAATCCTTCCACAAAATGCATGCGACTTAAACCAGGTTTCCCTCTGTGTACAAAGGGTCGAGACACCCCCCCCACCTTACACCCAACGGACAAGGGGAGGGGGTGGGCGGTGGGGGGGGGGAGACTCTGACGTCATCCCGGCGGCAACCGTGGCAACGACCTCGATCGCTCCCGGTGTGACGACCTCGCGTGGGGGGAGGGGAGGGGTGGGGGAAAGGGAAGGGGAAGGGGTGGGGGAAGGTAGAAAGGGAGGGGGAAGGGGGAAAGGGAGAGATAGGTATTAAGACCTCGAAATAAATGAATGACCTTACAAAATGGAAAAAAAAAGTCTCGGAAAATAATTAACAATATGTCCTAGGCTTCGGAGACTGAGAAAAGCTTTTAGAAGTTTTCTATTTTTGAGGGGAAAAAATACTCATTATTTGGGAAACGGAGCCGAAAACTCTAGGGTTTACTGCTTCGGATGTTAACGAAGAGATTTTTGTTTTTTTTCGGCCTCACTGCGAAAGTCTACTCTTTATCATAACTTTTCGCGCCACTTCCCACTTCCTTTCTATCTCTGTCTCTCACTCACTCAATTTCTCTCTCTCTATATATATACACATATATCCCTCTCCCTCCCTCCGTTCCTCTCTCTCTCTCTCTCTCTCTCTCTCTCTCTCTCTCTCTCTCTCTCTCTCTCTCTCTCTCTCTCTCTCTCTCTCTCTCTCTCTCTCTCTCTCTCTCTCTCTCTCTCCCTCCCTCTCTCTCTCTCTTCCTTCCTCCTCCACCTCCCCTCGCCTCCCTAACTCCAAAGGCGTAGGAGTTTTGTGGCGAAAGGGAAAGGGTAATAAAGAAACTTTTAATATCAACTGTTTCCCCTTTGTTTCCCTCCAAGTTTATGTTCGTTTTTTCCCCTTTCGTAGTGACATCCATTTCCTCTGAAATGTCAGGAAAGGAAGGAAGAGGCAGCTTTATTATGCTAAAATCATTATGAGCACCACAGTACTTAGAATGATGATGATGTCGTTAAAAAATACTAGTAGAAATAACGTTACTGGTCCTCAAACAACCGTAACAGCAGCAATAATAATAATGATAATGGTAATAATAATAGTGAAATGAGTAATGGTGATGATGTTGATGATGATGATGATGATGATGATGATGATGATGATGATGATGATGATGATGATGATGATGATGATGATGATGATGATGATGGAGATGAAGATGAACATAAAGAACCAATACCAACAGCCGCAGCAGCACACAAAGCCCCGAGACCCGCGAAGTCTCAAGCCCAAGACGTCCGTCACGACGTCAGCGCGAACACAGAAACGTCAGCCTCCGAACCGCGATCATATCAGAGCCGCCAATCAATACGTCATCGCCGACGGACCGACACGAAAGACCGATCGCCCGACAGATGTCATCTTTATATGAATAATAATGATGCAGAAGGAGGGGGGAGGGAGGGAGGGAGGGAGGGAGGGAGGGAGGGAGGGAGAGGGAGAGAGAGGGAGAAGGAGAGAGGGAGAAGGAGAAGGAGAAGGAGAAGGAGAGAGAGAGAGAGAGAGAGAGAGAGAGAGAGAGAGAGAGAGAGAGAGAGAGAGAGAGAGAGAGAGAGAGAGAGAGAGAGAGAGAGAGAGAGAGAGATTGAATGTTTGGTGCAATAATACACACAAAGAAAAAAAAAAGCCGGTTAATAACAATGCAAAAGAACAACGTGAATCCCCCGCAAGGTAAGTTTAAGCAACCAAAGCGGAGGAAACGCAAAGGGCAGCGCCGTCTCTGGCAATTAACGGCGAAGTCAAGGATCTTACGAATTCAAGTGATAATAATTCCGTCTCCGAGGAAGGCGCTCTCAATTTATTACTATTTCTTCTTCTCCTCCTCTTCCCTCTCCTACTTCTTAGAGAGGGGGGAGGGAGAGAGAGAGAGAGAGAGAGAGAGAGAGAGAGAGAGAGAGAGAGAGAGAGAGAGAGAGAGAGAGAGAGAGAGAGAGGGGGGGGGGAGGGGGAGAGGGGGAGAGAGGGAGAGGGGAGAGAGAGAGAGAGAGAGAGAGAGAGAGAGAGAGAGAGAGAGAGAGAGAGAGAGAGAGAGAGAGAGAGAGAGAGAGAGAGAGAGAGAGAGAGAGAGAGAGAGAGAGAGAGAGAGGGAGAGAGAGAGAGAGAGAGAGAGAGAGAGAGAGAGAGAGAGAGAGGGAGGGAGAGGGAGAGAGAGAGAGAGAGAGAGAGAATAGTGATATGTTTCTCTTTCCTTTCTCTCTTTCTCTCCTCCCCCTCCCCCCCTCCACCTTCCCTCCCCCCCATCGCCACGCAATATCGCCTCCCGCGCTCGCCGGGACTTTAGGAGCATCGAATCCATTTCCTCGAGCGTGCTATTACAGGTTCCTACCCTGAATCGTACCATCAAAACGCGTACATAATATAACACATATTCTATAAAGAAGGAGGAGGGGGAGGAAGAGGAAGAAGGAGGAGGGGGAGGAAGAGGAAGAAGAGGACGAGGAAGAAAAGGAGGAGGAGGAGGAAGAGGAGGTGGTGGAGGAAGAGGACGAGGAAGAAAATGATGATGATGATGATGATGATGATGATGATGAGGAGGAGGAGGAGGAAATGAGGAAGAGAAGACAAAGCGGTAAGGGAAGGGGAAGGACAAAGATATATAATAACAACAACAACATTAACAACAAAGCAACAATAGTAGTAGTAGTAATAGTAGTAACAACAGAAACAATACCAAGAGTATCGAGAGGAAACGCGAGGCGACCGGGCGACGAAGGAAAGAGCGCGGAGGCCACAGGCACGAAGCAAGCGGAATTTCCTTGGGCGCTGCTTGCTCCCCCCAAGCAACAGCGCCGCAGCATAATTCAGGAGTAGGTCGCGTTTAATAAAACTGCCGGAATATGCCAGCTGTGTGTGCCCGACGACACTCACGTGGAAGCGTAGGAGGAAGGGGAGAGAAAAGGGGAGGGGAGAGAGGCGGAGGAGGAGGGGGAGGTCCGAAGAGTGCGGAGGAGAGGCGAGGGGAGAGAAAGGGAGGAGAGGGGAGAAGAGAGAAAGGGAGGAAAGGGGAGGGGAGCGAAAAGAAGGTGAGGGGAGGGGAGAGAAGAGAAGATGAGGGGAGGGGAGAAAAAAGGAGGGGATGACGAGGTGGAAGAGAGGAGTTCGGAGAGATAAGAAAAGGAAGAAGGTGAGAAGAGAGGGAGAAGAGGAGGAGGAGGAGGAGAGGAGGAGGAGAGGAGGGGGGGGGATGGGTGCGAGAGGGGTCACAGCAGAGCGAAGAGGAGGAGGAAGAGCGAAGTGCAGTGAACCCGGAGAGACCCGACAAACGAGAAGAACGAGAGAACGGAGAGAAGGAAAGGAGAGAAGCGCAACATGTTGACAAGAAACGAAAGGGAAATAAACACACACACACGAGACAAATACAGGAATTAATGATGATCAGAAAATAGCACCGCCCAGCGCTATAAATAACCAAACACAATATAAGAAAGACCAAAATCCAATACACGGAAGAACATGTTTAGGCCTGCAAATACATCTCGGTGTCCAAGACAGCAAACATACAACAAAATAAATCACAAGGTGAAAAAAAAACTCAGTCAAAAATATCATATAAACAAGGGTAAAAATGATAATATATATAAAATATAAAAATTAACAATACTAAGAATAACCAAATGAACAAAATATAAACCTGCATGGACGATTGTACAACTTAACGTAAACTTAAAAAAAAAAAAAAAAAAAAAAAAACGGACCGGATTCGACAGCGAACCGAACCCGGGACGAGTCAGGCGCAGGAACAAGTTCAAGGAGCAGCTTCTTATGAATAAAAACAGCAACACTTGATGCATAAGGAAGACGCAGCACAAAACAGAATGATAAAGAGGCAATTTGATAAAAGGGGGAAGAGGGTACGCGCCGCCTGGAAGACATGATGTATGCATACTTGGACGTACATATATAGACGCACACACGCATGCAAACAAAT